CTGACAGTTCGATTCTTTCGAAATAATTTGAAAACAACCAGCAGTAAGGGTCCTCTGCTCCCGTTGTGTAGCAGTGTAAATCCTGGAATAACGTGGTAGTAAACCGAGCTTTCTGATGCTAAAGGCAAGCAAGGAAAGGAAAGGAATCGCAGCTTGCATCAGCAGATCAAACACCTCGCAAACCCACTGAATCTGAAATGTTTCTCCTAGTTGTCAGAAGAATGTTTGTCATATTATGCAGGGCAAGTTTGTTTGTTAAACTCTGCCAGCTGGGGAAAAACATTGTACGCTGAATTTGTTTTGATTTAGCAAGGTAAGTTACTCCTTGCACTGTTACACTTAACTTTGCGGTAGAAGAGAATGTTTCTTAGCTCATAAAATGCTCATCGCTGTGACATTTTGTTTTATCAAGCAGCAACTTCAGCATGTGTGTGAGGAATGGAAAAGATTCAAATAAACCACACTGGCATTTTAAAAATTTGTTTCAATTTACTATTCTTTCTATATTTTCAAACTGAGCGTAGACAGGGCTGAGTAAGAGGCCAATGTACCTTAAAGCTTGTTTACCAACATTGACCTATGCACTATGAAATCCAGTTTAACCTAAAATAGGACCACAAGAAACTCAAATACTTTACCCAGACTCCTGCTATCTCCACGCAGAGGTTATACTTGCTCAGCTGGGCATGTCCTTTGAACAAGGTGAAGGATGCACCGGCGCAGCAAAATACTGTCCTGTTTGGAAAAAAAAAAGATTCTGAGTTGTCCCCTGAATACAGGTAAGTGGAATTAGTTTTGGTTCTTTACTTTACAAGGAATAGATCATTATTTGTTGCCTAAAAAGAGAGTTTTGGAAGTACACGTTGACGGTACAGTTAACTTGGTGGAACAAGCCAGTAAACGTAGAGTCAGCCTGTTCTGGAAGTGTAGAGTTAAGCTGAATTGTATTTATGGGAGCAAAACACCAAGAGCCCATTGGTATTTTATAGAGCTTTGATTTGATAGGTTATTGATTTTGGCTTCGGGGGGATATAGCCCCTGTTGAGAAAGTATCAAACTCACACTGAATAAAATTGTCAAAAGCCCTAAAACCAGTGGCGAGGGACTGGCTAGCTCTGACTGTAGCGCTTCAAATGGAGTGGGGAAGATATGCCTTATTGCCTTCAGACCTCTGGAAGCAGTTATGTGTATTAAATACTGGAATAACTTGATATTTTAAAAGCTTATACGCTCATCCAAGTAAAATGGGTTTAGAAGACTGCTGGGAGTGTCATTATTTTATGACTAAATCGATACCCAGATTTATGCCTTTTGGACATAGAAACTTGAATTTAATTGAGAAAATGGATCTAATGAGGATAGACGGTTTTTATGCAGGTGCCCTTGTTTAAAGACACATATGCTCACAATCCTGTGGCACATGAAAAAAAAAAAAGAGCAACTGAGATTTAAGGGTCGAATATACCCACCAAAGAGGGTGACACACCCAAAATACTGGGGAACAGGCAATGGCAAAGAAATGGTAGTACTTCTGAACACCTGAAAAACCAAAGGATTTTTTTTTGCTCCTGAATACAAAATTAATTAGTTAACACAGAAAAGCATATTCTTTTCCAACCTATGAGTGAAATTAATGGCCAGATGGCAATAACCTGGCCGTCAAAATCAGCACTACTACTGATTCAAGTGCAGCATCAGTATCTCCTATTTGCCCATTCTCTGGCAAATGTGTGATATTTATGGTATATTTTTCCTAATACAAGCTATTATCTATAGTGATGAAAATCAGAAGGAAATTGTATTAAATATATTTAGCTAAATTCTGTTCCCTGTATGGAATCAATTTAAAAAAAAAAAAGCCCCAGACAAGTACGTATGCATGTGCTTAATTTTGTTCCCGTCTCCAAGACCAACTTTAGACCACATGCTTTGCCAAATCGAAATCAAAATGCAGAGTAACCCCATTGACTTCAGTGAAATAGCTTGTGATTCAGTCCCATATATTTGTCTCAATATGTGTTTCATTGGCTATAATAAGCAGAAACTATTTATGACACAAATTTCCTGGACTTTTACAGGCACAATTAGCACTCTGAAGGGTAGAAGAAAACTAGTAGGAAAAGCTAACAAGTATAGAAACGTAGATGGAGAAGTCATTAACATTTCATTTCTTCTATACATATACTCACACACACACAAAAATGACTCTCCGCTGGGAATGTACACATCTTGAAAATCTAAATTACACACTGAGAATAGGTTTGTGTTGCAATGTACTGCAAGGAATTTTCAAGTTTATAGTTGGCAAGAAATTAGCATTTACTATATAGAGAGACAACATGATGGAGTGTATTTTGCTCTTTATGCTAAACTTCCATTGATTGCCATGGGAATATTCTATGTGTGGAAAGGCGGTAGGAGCTGTGCCTTTAACAGTAAACAACAGTGATAGTCAGTGATGTTTCTGTCTGCACTGAAATAAAGTGCTAATAAAAAAAATATACGTTCTTATTGTTTAAAAGCCACAGTCGATAGATTTTTATTTTCCCTACTGACTTGAACAGTAAACTTCTGTAAACAAAATTTGACATGCCTATCTTATTAAACGTAATTTAAACGTGCGCTCTGAAAAAAACCAAAGATGCAAGGCATAGGGCTTGGAAAGTCTCAGGCGGCACTGCTTTTCCCCTGTAATTTCGGGCATAGTCCTTGAGTTTTCTGTTCCTTGCAGAAATATTGTGGAGCCATGTTCACACGAGGTGCTTGAGACAGCGTGAGGACAAGTTGTGACAGGGCTCGGCATCCTGCCCACCGGAGCTGCTGCGGTTTTGGGTCCCGTGCTTCGGTGAGCTGTACCCAAACCAGGTTTGACCCATAGAAACACCCCCCCAGCAGATCGGGAGCCTGAGCAGGAGCTGCACCATTCCCCGGTGCCTCCTCCCTCCCCCCGAACTCCCCTGCATACCAATCAATGTCTATTTTCCTTCCAACGCCAGCCGGGAATTTTAATGACCGTTAATGGGATTTATGCGTAGGCTTCAAGGGTAATGCAGACCCTGCCGCGGCACACGGTTGTACTCCACCCACCCAGCCGACCCGACCAGACATCGCTTTTATTTGGCAGCCAAATTTGTCCCTGAAGTTAATAGCAGATTTGGGTGCAGGTATAAGCCTGCACATAGCACGCAGAGCACCGGCTGCAGCAGATAAAGACGGGGAGAGGAGCCAGCGTGCCTCTGCTGCGCTCGGGATCACGCCTGGGGAAACGCTCCGTGGTCCGGGCTGGCCTGAGCATCCGCAAATGTGCAGCTGCAGATACTTCTGTAAATAGCTCCCAATAAAAATAAATCTCCAGAATGAATTACTGCAGGCTGTACGCTTTGTATCTATTACTGCTCGCTGTGGTGATAGAAATTCCCCGGCAAGTCTTTCTTGTTTTATTCAAGCGAACAGATTTCTATTGGAGTTAATGGCATGACTGTCATGTACAGTGAGCTGGATTTGTGCATCGTTTTGCCCCGAGTAATTTTCTAGGCAAGTGAATCCCGTGACGAGCCAATCGGATGTCCTGCACAACGCAAGCCGTACAACTTTGTCCCGTGACTCCTGTGTGAAGCCTGACTGTTGCTAACTAATTCTGCAAGCGTGGTGTGGTCAGGAGGAATTAGCTGCTTTTTAAAAATAGATTATTTCCTGTCACATTCCAGTATTTTTACTGAGAGTTTTTTACATGAATATTCTGTGTCTCACTGATACTAACATTTCTGAAAATTTTTTTTTTTATAAACAACATACGATTAAAAACAAAAAAAACCTGGAAGAAAATCTATAAGGATAGTGCCAGGGAACTGTGGAGTACTGGAAGAATGAATGTTTTTCTGCATTGATGCGAGTTCAAAATGGATCTCATTTTCCTGAAATGTTTGCATGAAGCAGGAACAGAGGGGGATGAAATTGCCGTAACGGCTATTAAAACCTTTCAGGTCGGTTGTGCCCGTAAGATTTGCCGTGAGGACCCGTTCAGCATCTCCGTGTCAGGGATGATGCTGGGGCAGAGGCACCCGCGGTGCCCGGCAGGGCCGTGCAGCATCCCCCAGCGAGGGCTTACGAGCGATGGCAGATCTCTGCGCAGGGGACACAGGACCAACCCAAAGCCTAAACTTCTGTCATAAGATCACCTTAATGAACCCACCCACAGCCTCTCTTACAGTTGCAGTAGGATGAAAAATATACATTGGAAGATAAAGGATACACTTTTGCCTGTTAGCAGCAGTTTGTAACGGGATATTCAGAATGACTGACGGTCCCATCCTCTCTTCCCTACAAAGAACACCCAAGCGAGGGCTATTCACTTGGCCTCTCCTCAGAGAAGGAGGTTTTCAGCTTCGTGATTAAATCTATCTAAACTGCTTAAAAAAGAGTCTGTACTTTCATGCTAGAGCAATTTGCATTAGGTTTTTGCCAAGCAATTTTTTTTCTTTTTCAGGCATGTTTTTTTGCTTTATTCTGTATATGAATAGAGTCCAGGTAAAATATTTTTAATTCATTTCAGGCTGGATTGGTTATTGGAAAAAAAGAGGTATTTTTTTTTCCTTGTTGTTACTTGATTTAATTAGTGCTCTGTTTTTAAAGTGGCAAGCCAAGCTTCGCCAAGTCTGGCTCTCTGACTCATGCTAACAGGGTTTTATAGCCCCACCTGCATCTGAGAGAAGGAAAAAAGCCCCAAAGCTTTATTTTTAACGCCACGTACATACCTCGTCCATTCCATTAAAACACACACAAGTCCCATGCCCACTGTCTCTTTTTTCTCTGCCGAAGCCCACCGAAACCCGCGGCACTGGTGGTCCACGGGCTCTGTGGGAGACTGCTGCTGCAGGCAGGGTCGGAGGCAGGCAAGGAAGCTCCCTGATGTACCTTGTTCGCTATAGACACTGTATAAGTGGGCTTGAGGGAGAGAAAGCTTTTAATTTTGAGTTATTAATATTCTTCTTCTCTTATAGGAATTTGTGCCTTTGAACCCCTCCAGCAGCTGAGCACCGTGCGGGTGGATCTGGGGCTGTCTGCAGTGGGTGACCCAAAACCTCACTTATTTACCCAACCTCCACGTGAGGTCTGGGAAAGGGAAAAGAAGCAACTGCAATTCCCTTCTTTTTTTTTTTTTTCTTTTTTCCTTCTCTCTTTTCCCTTTCTCAAACCAGAGGCCCGTGACTGTAGCTGTGCTTTGCACTCCTGGACCACGGCAGGTGCTGATGGAGGCTGCGGGTGTGAGTGTGCACAGCCGGTCTGGGACCCCGGCTCCGCAGTCCCCTTCCCATGTCACCGATCCGAGGCAGGTCTCCCTGCGTGGGCTCACCAGGAATCTGGGCACGAACCTCTAATCCCATTGGAAAAATGTCATATTTACTGTTGCTGAGGCTTTTTGCAGGATGGGGCTTATTGGAGTGAATCTCTTCAGTTTGAAAAGGTTTTGGGTAAAAAAGCTTTTTTAAATTATGAAAACTGTCCAGGTTTTGACATTTAAAAATTTTCCTTTTTGCTTTGAAATAGCCTTTATTCTTTAGACTAAAACCAATAAAAATTCTGTAAGGTAAAAAATTGAAGAAAATATTTCAAAAATTATCAAAATGAGTGATTTGCTTTAACTCTGCTTTTTTCCCAATGGTCAGCTCAGAAATGATTTCTTTTTTTTTTTTAATATCCCTCCTTTCTTTACCCTGAACAGGGGCAGATAAAACACCGAGATGTCAAAACCTCTGACAAGGTGGGAGAACCCCATCTTCCTAGGCTCTGCACAGAACAACCCTCCCGTGAAGGTGTTGGGATCTCCTCCCTCCCTCCGTGGGTCCCAAACCCCCGTGCTGGAGGATGGGGGATGGAGAAGGGTGCTCCCGGAGGTGGCTGATTCCCTCCTCCCGCACCTCTCAGGGCCAGGATAACCTGGCACGGGGCTTGCTTATCCGCTCTCCCACCACTTTGCCTCATCCCGTTGGCCCGCGAGGGCCCCGATCCTGCTCTTCCCAGCGCCGCTGGCAACGTCCCCGCTGGCTTTGGCAGGAGCGGGCCTTTCGCTGTTGATTTTTTCCCTGTCAATCAGTTACTTTGACATCTAAATGTCAAATGACACCACATGGCTTTTTTTTTTTTTCTTTTCCCCTTGTAATTTAATTGCAAGCACAAAATGGTGGGTGCAGCGTGAAGGGTTTCGAGAGAATGCATCATTAGCAAATTCAATTAGCTGGCACTTTACGCTTGCTGGCATGGAGGGCTCTGACGACGGTGCCAGGGAGGCTGCTGCCGCGCAGAGGGGGCCACGGGGGAGCGGTAGCTCTCCCAGGCTTTCTGGCTCACCTTTTCTTCCTACCCTTCGGGAGCAGGAGAGCCATCCCTCCTAAACAGCCCGGGATAAGAGGCTGTACAATCAAATTGTCTCTCTGCAATGATAATAATATGAGGGTCTCTCCTGCTTCCAGGAATTGTCTTACTGTACCAGCAAATCAGCATTTCTTCAATTGTAACATCATTCCTGGAAATAGTGTTACATGACATGCCCTCGCTGCCTGTCTCGGTGTGAATGAGAGCACAGCAAAGCTCATGTTTTCCATTGTCGAAATACTAGCATAAATCTTTCACTAATGCACTGCTGTCTTTTATTATAACAGTCACTGCAGCATAGAAAAGTACGTCAAATCTCTCCTTGTTGGTACAGTCAGTTGTTGGCATCGCCCTGACATGTTGCTTCTTTCCTTAAAATGGCTTTGTAAAGGGACTAAAATGAGCTGCTCAGCCTCTGGCAGCACCTTTGCATGTTTTGACAAATCTGAGGCTTCAATGTTGTACGTAAGAAGGTTCAAAACAGTGGGGAAACAGCGTCCTCGTGATAGGTTTTGACAAAAGTCAGCCCCGTGTCAGAAGTGACGGTGCCGGATCTCATTACCGGGGCAGATTCTGCGCCGGTGGCTGCAGGGCGAGAGGGAGGTGATGTGAGGGACGAGGGCAGGCCCGTGGGGAGGGATGTCCCCTCGGTCACAGGGTGGCCGGGAGCATCCCTCCAGTGCCGTCAGGATGCTCGTGCGTCCTCTGCAACACCTGCGGACGCGGAGGACCGGGTCCTCCCCTGGCAGCCGGCAGCAGGGACCCTCACTGCAGCATGTGGATGCCAGCTTGCAGGAGCCAAGGATAAGGCACAGCTGTGTTTAAGTTAAAATCAGCTGCGCTTTGGAAAGGACAGATTTAAGCTGACCTGAGAGGGCAGCGGTTTGGGAGCTGCCTTTGCCTGTGCTTTCTGAGGGGAGGCTGAGAGATACGAAGGTACCTTTGTGCTTTGTGTTTCCCCTTCAAAGCTGAGTATTTCTGTTGTGTTGGAAGGGGAGCTAACAGTTGGAGACTTGAGGCTGGTTAAGCAAATGATTATATAGAGAAATAATAAAGCCACACTGAAGTAAGGAATCACTGACTGGCTGCCCGAGCCCCAGATCATGCTGTATCCCTCTGTCTGTGCCTTCTTCTGTTGTTTCTCTTGTGTTGTTGTTGCCTTCCTATGTTGTAAGCTCCTCGAACAGGCTTATTCCTTCTTGAATGTCTTTGCGGCCCCTTGTGGCTTTTGAATACTCCCCCAGTAGAAGAAATGACTCTTTCATGATGAAAGCCTTCACTGCAGCTTCCAGCAGCACCAGGGGCTGCCAGGGGAAAGGCTGCTGGGGCAAAAGCACCCGGTGCTTCACCTTGGGTTGCCAGGACCAGCCGGTGGGGAACGACCACTGGCAAAGGAAACAAAATACAGAGGGAGAAAGTTAGTTGGGGTAAAATCTATTCATCTGCAAAGTGCTTAGCTTCATTGCTCTTCCTCTAACCAGTGCTTGGCCGGTGCCTTGCTGTCTCTCCCGCTCCACGTGCCGTGCAGGATGCTCCCGATCACCCGCCCCAACCAGGACACTGGCTTTTATCTACTGCCTAAAAATTGCCACGCTTAAAGCTGTCTCTTCTCCCTCTGCAAGAGGTGAGTGCAGCTCCTCTCAGCTCCTTTCAAAGCAGCAAAGGGCACGGCTTAAGTCAGCTCTCCCCTTGGTCCACTTTCTCTCCAAGCTTTGTTCCTCCTCGGCAAGAAGGAAGTTGTTCTTACCTGTAAGACCCTCCTCCTACATCCCAGATAGGGAAAAGCTGCTTCTCCTGAAGCCAAAGATTCGTGCTAGGTCTGGGGAAGAGCTTGTCTCGTAGGTTCCTACAGGACGGTGTGGGCAGCAATGCCAAACCGCTGCAGCAGCTCAAATCCCCTTCAAAAGAAGCTTTGCTCTTGTCCTGTATCTTTCCATTTCTCTGCTTCTCCATTTCCAAACTATGTGATTTAGAAATGGGTGTCCCTTCAGTGCCCAAGACAGCTTGGGAGATACTAACATTTTTTATGGATGGGGAAACTGAGGCAGGAGTCTCGTGTGTGTCAGCAGGGCTGCAAATGGCAGGACTGGAAGTAAATTATGCTTCAGATGAAAGCTTTCTCCTCAAGGGCATCAGACAGCCCAATCTCTATGCAGACATCTCAAAACTGCTGCAGTTCCTCGGGAGCGCGAGCTCTGCCCCAGCCCTTCTCCGAGGGCAGAAGGGACGTCCCTGCTTCCCGGGGCTGCTGCGGAGGAACTTGCTGATGCCCCCTGCAAAAGCCTGCAAAGCATTTGGCGTAGGTGCAAATAAGCAGAAAGTGTTTGGCAAAGGTCCCTGGCATTTTTCTTTTTTTCTTTCCCCCCCCTGCTCTGCACAAGATGTTTTACAGCCTTTGTGAGCCCGTATAGATGCTGGTTTCTGGCATGCGGTGTGCTGGAGACTGCAGGCTGTTGCTGAAGCCTCGGGAGTGCAGCTGGCCTTTAAACCTGGCTTTATAGGAAGGAAATTCTCTGGTCCCACTGGAGGGAGGTACAATCTTGTGACACTTAGTGGAAATAGAGCAGGTTTAGTTTGGTCAAAGGGGGAGTATTTCCAAGGAAACATGAGGGTTTTAGGAGTGTTCCAAAGCCAAGGCAAGTCCAAAAATTTTTAGTCCAATTGTCTTGCTTTCCCAGGCTAATTTTATGAGGAGGCCCTAAGATGTGAATGAGGAGTGATCTTGTTCAGCCTGAAAAATAAAATTAACACCAGTATGACTGAAGCCCAGAGAACCGCAAGTGTCTTGTTTTTTTTAACTGAAGGATGCAAAGGCTCAGCTCAGGATGTAACTGAGGCCCATTTGGAATAATATATTTCATACTTGCTTGTAAGAAGACAGTAAAGTAAGATCCGTTTGGATGGGGGCAAGCCCACTTTTAGTGCAATAAAGGAGAATAGCGATGTTCTTTCTTTTCCTTCTCTTGTAGGACTTTCTACCCTGTCCTGGGTCCTTTCCCCTCAAACCTGCCGTTTCTCTCTGTTTTAGGTAGGTAACTCCATCCCTCACACGCCAGCCTGTCCTTCATTTTCTTTCTGTTTCAGTGCTTAGCACCATTACAGTTCTTAGCCAAAAAGTTCAACTAAAACAAGCCTGGACTGTACCACCTCCCTCCTCGAAACTAATGGTCATGTTTCTCTTTCTTGCCAGCAGCTTCGGAGTTCATCTTGAGTCTCTGTACTTTTGTTTTGTGCCTTATGTGCATTTTGATCCCCTCTTTTTCTCTTTCGCACTCCAGCCCTGCACACCAGCTCACCCTCTCGCTGTAGGCATCCCTGGTACGTCACCTCCGGGGTTTCAGAGGGGTTGTTAGAGAGCAGCGGATGACAAAACCAGGGTCACCTGGGTTGCGAGGGATGGCTGCAGCGGCTGCTGTAGGTGTCAGAGCGCTGATATTTATACCCCTTAAGTTGCCTCACTCCTCCGAGTGCATCTCTGCAGAGTTGCTTTCCTAGGTGTGACTGTTTAGAGTACAGTCCTCCCTGTAAGTTAGATATTCTGCAATAAAATAGACTTCAGCAACTTCATTGCTATATATAAAGTTTTCCTTCAAACCTTTTTCGAACTCAGCCCTGTCTCCTCCCTAGGAAGCATCTGCTTCCCATTGCCAAATTCTTCTGCGTTCCTGTCCCTTTGGTCGTGTTTTCTCTGAATCCTTTAAAAAATGTGCATTTTGGCTGCGCGGTCATGCCAAGGAGTGTGAGAGTTTGCACATTTTGAGCAGGGATTGGCCCGTCTCGAATTGGTGCATCCAGAGAACCTGTCACAAGTTCCTTGAAGCACTTCTGCCTTCTGTTATGCTGGCACCGAGCTGACGGGCGCTCATTTTGCATGTCTCGGCTCCGTGCTTGGCTGGTGAGGATATTTGCAAGGCTGGATATTTCTGGTTCTACTCCACAGAAACCTTAAATGGAGTATTTGCTGTGCCCTGCCTTACAAAAAAGAGCCTAGTAATAAAACTTTGAA